GGCAGCAGCCATTGATTGAGACAGCAGAGTGCCTTTGAATATTATGAAAGACCTTTTAGTGCACTCTGGGGACGTGCCCTGCCCTCATGTTGCGTGTTTGTGTGTGAGGACAGCTTTCACCAGCACTCACAACAAATATTTTATTAGAGCTCTCTCCATCTGCTCCTGAAACAGACGATGAAGGGCTTCAGGTCCGGTTCAGAGCCATCATTAAGAGACCATCCTGAGGTTTCTGTCACATATTTAGTCTCCCTATTCTACTCTTTGCTGCTTCTCCAGTAATACATCATATTAACGGTTTTGCTCCCATCAACAATTTATACTATTGTCATAAGAAAATAAAACACAAAAAAAAGCAAAAAATGTTTCATAACATCTGCAATCTTAAAGTCATAGGGAAGTCATATTAAAATGTAAAATCATTCTAGCTTAAACATGTATATAAATGTACGCTTTATCAGACGATATTGTAGCAAAATTTAGAACATTTTTATTTAGAAGAAAAAATCTTGTCTTAAAATCAGTTTTTTTCTTTCATTATCTTCTGCAGACCAGTTAGTTCTACGTCAGCCTGAACGCCTAAATTCAGCCAATCATATATCAATTAAATTTTTTACAGTCATAGCATCTTGATTCATATGTCGCAGCTAATATACGCAACGGTTGAAATCAGAATCCTTTCCTTTCCCATTGAGTTGCGTCCCAGTGTTCACGGGGATGGACGTCTGTGTCTTCGGCAGGCGTAGAGCTAACAGAACTGGCAGCGTTGCGAGGCAAGGGCTCAAACATGTACGGCTGGAAGGCTTCTACACCAAACCAAGCTTCTGCCGCCCTGGCGTCCTCTTCCACAACATCTTCGTCCCCGCTTTCCTCCTCTAAATAAAAAATGGATGACGGAGGAGACTCATCCACGACCTCCGACACTAAACTCTCCTCCTCTTGCATGTTTCCTCTGTCCATAGCGTTCCTTGACAGCGTCGTTTCTAAGGCACCAATTTAGTGCTACTTGGTCCCAATGGAATTTCCCGTTGGGAACCTGCTAGCACTAAGATGCTAACTGGTTAGCAAGATGCTTCCAATAAACCGACCACAACCAAACTTACTTTCGAACCTTCCGCCACAACAATCCCGCCCCCTTGATAAACGACCAATCACATTCACTTTATTTACTCGTGTAAAGTCGTGCACCACTCTGGAGAATTCGGAAATGCGACGGATGGAACAGCTGCTTCCCTACGACTTTAAAAAAGTGGTAAAAGCTTCACACTCTACTTTGATGCAGTTTAGATATCAGATGCACAGTCAGTTGGAAACAATAAATAAGACGTGATGTTGGCCGAATAATACTGCATGGTGATGCTGAAGAAGAAGGTGTAAACTCTCATCATTTTCCATATTGCAGGTTGCCTCTAAAGGGGCTAATGTTCTTAGCATTGAAAAAGCTGATTTTTGGAAAATACAAAAACTATATATAGGTATGTTTGATTTTTAATTTAGATATGTTTGATGATCTGAAACTTTTGTGTGACAGAAAAGCCTGAATTAAATCTATAAAATACCACAGTAGTCCTGAGTGTCTGCATAAGACCTGCTCTAGCATTTACACAATTTAGTATTTGCTGCACAAAAATGTAAGCAGTGGTTGGAAATAAGGTCAGGGATTATGCTGTAAGTCTCATGGATTAGTGGTTTGGCATAAAGAAGAGAAGTGATGCTGGTTTCCTGATGTTGCTGCAGCAACAGCAGAGCTGAGCATCTTCCTCCACATTAATGAGATCACACTGACATCATTTCCAGAAACAAACTCTGACAACCTTTCTCTTTTGAAGAGTTTGTTGTTTGGACTTATTCTTGGTCCAGGTCTCAAATATAAGCCTAGTATGGTGATCGGTCTGTTGTTTTCAGCTATTTAAAGCTAGAATAAGGCAAGGCAAGTTCTAAAACCTGAAGAAAGTGGAACAAAGTGTAAGAAGCTTCATACTTCTGTTAATACAAAATCTACTTTATGTTCTTTTTTCATAAATTTCTTCTAGGTCAGAAAGATAGAAAAAAAAATAAACGAAGAGTTTATGCTTCACAAGATCACAATGTGGTAATTCTCTTTGACAAAAGAAGTAAAAACAATTTGGAACGTTGGAAACTTTTTAAAAGAATCATATAATCTGACCTAAACGAGGCGCATACTATGGAGGATAAAAAGTGCCAAAATTAAATAAATAAATACAGCATTAAATAAATAATTAAATGTGTCAATAATTGATTAAATGTGGAATTAAATAAATAAATGTGTCATTCATTAATTAAAACCACGTCACTAATATAAAGTGCCACAATAAAATGAATAAATACAACGATAAACAAATAATTAGATGTGTGATTCATTAAATGTGTATTAAATATATAAATGTGTCATTAATTTAATAAAATACATCTTCATTTTATTAAAAAAAAAATATATATAGTTATTACAGTGTGCATTTAATTATTTCATGGTCCTGTGTCGCAGTGCATCGAAACCATTAAAAGAATCTGTCAAACTCACCCATCAAAGTTATGGGGCGGGTTTAACGCGAATCGAGTCTCTGTCATCGAGTTGCTTCGCCTTAATGTGAAGGGTGACCAATCAGGTGTTAGATAACCGCCCCCTAACTTTGATGGGTGAGTTTGACAGATTCTTTTAATGGTTTCGATGCACTGCGACACAGGACCATGAAATAATTAAATGCACACTGAAATAATTATATATATTTTTTTTATGAAATGAAGATGTATTTTATTAAATTAATGACATTTATACATTTAATTCCTTATTTATTTAATAAATTACACATTTAATTATTTATTTAATGCTGTATTTATTTATTTAATTGTGGCACTTTATATTAGTGACGTGGTTGTAATTAATGAATGACACATTTATTTATTTAATTCCACATTTAATTAATTATTGACACATTTAATTATTTATTTAATGCTGTATTTATTTATTTAATTGTGGCACTTTATATTAGTGACGTGGTTTTAATTAATGAATGACACATTTATTTATTTAATTCCACATTTAGTTAATTATTGACACATTTAATTATTTATTTAATGCTGTATTTATTTATTTAATTGTGGCACTTTATATTAGTGCCGTGGTTTTAATTAAAGAATGACACATTTATTTATTTAATTCCACATTTAATCAATTATTGACACATTTAATTATTTATTTAATGCTGTATTTATTTATTTAATTTTGGCACTTTTTATCCTCCATAATCCCGATCCTACTAATTTCTTTGTCTTTTTCCATGTAGTAACATTTATCGAGTTTTGCCAAATACTCCCCATTTCAGTACAGTCGAAACACCACCTTTAGGCCATAAATGGCCTGAAATCTTCAGGTATCTGCTAGAAACCCGATGATACAGAGTGTTTTCATTATTCATCTTCACTGGAAGCTGAACACCCACATCAACCAAAGGACAACTTAGAAGGAGGAAAACTACAGCTTGGGCTGATTTGGTCTGAGTCCAAATCTAAATCTAACAGAAAAACCAACTGACTGAACCAAGCTGTGGACAACAGATGTTCTCACACTTGAAATCTAAGAAGCAGCAGAAAAATTGGGCAGCTGTAATCAGAGGGTAGAGGTGACCATGGCGGGCAGCACAGGCAGCAGAGACCAGTAGCTGCTCTGATAATCACTGACTCACCAACAATTTAGGGCAACTTTAGAATAATGATGCTTCTCATATCCTCCAGAAACCCCTCACTCTGTTGGAGAACATCTAAAATCTTTCCCCACATCATTGCAGCACGCTGTGTTTTTTCAGTGTGAGGAAACAGAGCAAGGCCTAAAAACTGCTGCATCACTGACTTCTCACAAACACACACCTACCACCCACATGTCATCCCACATGTCTTTTATTTCTTTTAAATCTTCCTCTCAGCAGATAGTAACTGTGGCCTAAACAAGGTCTCCATCTAGTGGACCTTTAGCCTTCCTGCTTGAATCTGGGTAAAACAACTCATCCTCACCCTAGCATCAGCTCTGCAGGACACACCAGGAATGTCACACTGCAATTAAAAACAAAACATGACTTCCAACTGGAGGAACAGTCTATTGTATATCAGCATGTGAGACTCTATAGACCCACCTTCACGTGTCTCCTGTTTCACTTCAGTTCTTGAAAAGCTAAAGATGATTCTAGGAGTTAAATTACTTTGGTATATTGCACTGCCTTGGGTGCAAACAGGCTGAAAATACATAAATGTACTGCAAACACAAAACTGACATAAGAAGTTACAATATTATTGATCACTGCTTTGCACACTGGAAAAAAATCAAAATCTAGATAAGTCATTCTTTTCTCAGAATAAGTGCAATTGTTCTCGGATTGAGGAGGTAAAAGAGACATTTTGCCAATGGAACAAGACAATTTACACTTAAGATAAGAAAATACAAATGCATTTTCTCATTTTAAGTGCATATTATTGAATTGTCTTATTTTTAAGAGTAAAAATACTGATTCCATTGGCAAACTGTATCATTTACCTACTCAAATTAAGGGTAAAAACATTTAATTCAAGACATTTTTACTCATTTCTAGATCGTTTTTCCAGTGGAGTATTTGGGTCAGTGGAGTGAATGGAAATTTTTTTGGGGGGCACACATAGCATGCGTTTTGGCTCCAAAGGGACACTTCAGCTTGGGTTTTGGAACTGATGGGCGCTCTTATCGAGCTAATTTTCAGAACTGATTATCATATTTAATCGGTTTGATCAGAACAATAGGATCCAGTATACAAAGACTTTTTTCAAAACGCTTATTAGAAACAGTACTACAGTGACCAGCATCAGCGTCTAAGGCAGGAACCTCTGCAGGAGGTAACAACAGGTCAGCGACCACGTCTATCTGGATGATAACGAACATGTGAGTCACTAACCTGGTCTTATAGTTCAGTCCAGGCCCAGAGGGTGAAGTTGGTTCCAGGGGATCGGAGGCCAACATGACGCAGCAGGCGGCGCCTAGAGAGTTCCAGATGCTGAAGTCTTGGAGCTCAAAGGACAGACGGGATCAGAACCAAGCAGACGAAGGAAGGCAGGATAATCCAGAAGGTGAAGCCAAAGACGATGTCGAAGACATGTTCGGTAGTCAGAGCCAGGAGGTTAGAGATCCAAAGAGAGGCCGAAAGGAAATCCAGAACAGAGTCAGGAAACAGTTCCAGGTTCGATTCCAGAAATCCAGAAGAAGTCTGAAGACAGGTCAGGCAAACAGATCAGAACTGGAACAGGCAGGCTCAGAGGTCCAGAGGCAGTATGGGTCTGGATCAGGTAATCAGAAACAATCAGGTACGCTAGAGAACCCTCCCCACTGGCTCGAATAATCCGACACTGATGACTTCAAAGGGGCCCTTTAGCTTGGGCTTTGGCTTTAAAGGGGGCCACTTCAGTTTGGGCTGTTTTTTCCCAAAATATATATTTTTTTTTTATCAATTTCCAAATAATACCAATGTACAGACATAATACAAACAACAACATGTATCTCTCACACACACTGAGACCTGCACCTATCATAGAAGTAAAGTAAAACAAAATTTCTGTGTTTAGTTTCAAGTTACAAGAAAATCAGATTTAAAATAATAATAAAGCAAATAAAAGCAAAAAGCAACAAAAAAAAAAAAAAAATAAGGCAAAAATGTAAAGTGAGACCAAAAATGGTCTTACATTACAGATGATATAATAATCATGTCTGGCTTCCATAATTGTACAAAGTACTTTACTTTGGTTATTTAAGTTAGTCTTTCCAGTCTGATGCACTCTGAAATTTCTTTACTCGTTGTTTAATAAAAGGTTCTTCTATGCTCTTCCAGTTCAAAGCAATGGCTCTACTGGTATTTAACCATCCAGAATCCAATCCAGTTGTTAGTGAGAAACCTGTAGGATATATTCCCCGTACACAAAGTTAGCTTCAGATTAAACAATTGTGACCAACAATTTATGACTTCCAGCACTTCTGTATATCAGAACATTTCCATAAACAATGAATTAATAATTTTGACATTTAGTGCATATATCAGGAATATTACTGGACATATGATGGAGTTTTTTTTTTGGATGTTATATAAACACTTGTCAACCATTTTTATTGCAATAATTCAAAAAAAATAAACAATCCACTGTATTTTGTTTCCAAGTTTGAAGACGTTTCACTTCCCACCCAGGAAGCTTTTTAAATTCAAAATGTCAGAAATAGCGTTGAGTTCCAGGCTTCATACGGTAGCCCAACAAAGCCTTTTTTATGCTTCGAAAACATGCAAATTGAAACGGAAAAACGGTTTGACTTCTTTTGTTGGCCTGCAATACCCCATACCTGTGGGGTCGTTAAAGGGAGTTGTTGGCCTGGCTGTAAGGCGAGGTCTTCTGTTCCCTTGGAAGGGGTTGGGGTTGCGATGATAGCGGGAAGGAATCAACTCTATTGCTGCATTGTACGCTGAAAGTCCACCCCCTCTGTTTAAGGTTGGTTTTTCATTCCTAACATAAATGGCTTCCTTCACTCCCCTCTCAAACCATCTCTGTTCTTTATCCAAAATGTGAACATTCAAGGAGGAACAGAATTCAATTCAGTTTATTTCTATAGCTCCAATTCACAACACGTCATCTCAGGTCACTTTCCAGTTCAACAGATCATCCAGTCAGATTGATTCAAAGTTTTCTATCTAAGGAAAACCAGCTGATTGCATCGACTCATTGACTCTTCAGCAATCCCTCACACTAAGCATGCTTGTAGCGACAGTGGAGAGGAAAAACTCAGAACGAGGCTTGGTGTGAACGGCCATCTGCTGAGGTTGACTGGGGTTCAAGGAGACAGAAGCAGACATAGAAAAAGAAGCATAGATACTAAAGGTAACTGTAAAAGGCGGCCCCGTCCAGGAAACACACAGCCAGGCAGACGAGCTCCGAGCCAGCTCCCATGTCAGAGGATGAAGAGAGCACATCCAGTTAGTCACAGTCAGAGAAACAGGACTACACTGGAAAACGGGACAAGCTCCAACATCTAGAAACAAAGATGATGATATAATTTATCCCCTTTGAGGATGGACCCACTTCGAGAACCAGAATGTACACTTTCTACACACCTGCACGCTGAAAACAGGCTGACTAAATAATTAGCTGCACTCCACTGCTAATGTTCTAAATCCCAGTATTACAGCTGGTGTGCAGTCAGTTTTTCACACTTAATGGCTTTGTGTGATATAATCTTAGTGATGACAGTCAATAACATGTGTTTGTCTTTTTGTTTTTAGATTTAATAATTTTAGACCTGGAAAAAAACCCAGATGTCTCCTCTGACAGCCTAGGAAAGGAAAGCGACTGAGAAACATATCAATTTAACAACAACAAAAACAAACTCGCATCCATAACATCGTATCTTAGCAACTGGGCCATCACTGGTGGATCATTAGCAGAAGCTCAGGAGTTTATAGTTCTGTTGATGTTTCATCAAAACAGAGATGTTTCTGCTGCTGGTTCTGACTCTAAACAAACCTCCGGCTCCTTCTTACTGTTGATGGTCACAACACGTGTGGGTGGATCACCTTTATTTTGGTTTCTCCTCACCCAGCAGATCATGGGTGAGGAGAAGCAGCTGAACACGCTGTTCCACGATGGAGCTGAATCCCTGTGAACACGGTGGGCGCTGTGTGGGAGTGGAGAGGACAGCAGCTGCTCCAACAGTTTTTATTTTAACTCTGTGGTCCATGATGAATATATTTCCCAACAAAAAGCAAAGATCTACCTTACAGGTTATTCATCCCGCCCGGAGACGACTGTTCTGATACTTTAAGATGTATATTGCCCCACCCAGTAGGGGTGGTAATTATCTTATTTAATGAGATGTGTTATTCAGAATGTCATATATTATCTATGAACACACACCCTACTAACTGTGTGTTAAAACAATAAATGAAAGAGTGATTTGAGCACTAATCGTGGTCAAACAGTTAATTCTGCACATACATGGAATAAATTCACCACAACTTCTGTTCAAAATATGAGAGTTTATTAACAAAAATTATTCAGCTCCAAGTCAAACATATTTCAGTTAAAAACTCTTGACTAAAACTAGTCAACTCAACTAAACTAAACTACTATGTAGAAAGAAGGGAAACATAGTTGAAAACCATATAACAGCCAGAATTTAGGATGTGATCAAATTAGCTTTTCACTCATTTAGAGCTAATTGAATGTTTTTAAACCGCTAACCTGTAAATCATTGAGGTGAATAAAACATCCATCAATCCATTTTCTGTCACGCTTCATCCTTGCAGGGGTGGCGAGGGGCGCTGGCGTCTATCTCCAACTGACTGCGGGCGAGAGGCGGGGTCCACCCCGGAGGGGTCGCCAGTTCTTCGCAGGGCAACACAGAGACACATAACCATTCACGCTCACACCTAAGGAGAATTTAGAGAAGCCAATTAACCTAAAAGTCATTTTTTTGGGACTGTGGGAGGAAGCCGGAGTACCCAGAGAGAACCCATGCATGCTCAGGGAGAACATGCAGACTCCATTCAGAAAGACAGCGGGCCGGGAATAGAACACAGAACCCAAAACCTCTTCAAGTTGGCAATCCAACGACCAACCCGTCCGTGGAGGATCAGGAATCGGAAAAATTAACAGTTTTTTTTTTCCACTTTAACTCGATGTATTCCAACATCCAACTGCCATGAGTTATTCCACCTTTCTGATTCCTGATCCTCCACGGACGGGTTGGTCGTTGGATCGCCAACTTGAAGAGGGAGGATTTGCCATCGAACTTCTGGCCAGAGAAAAAACACGTAATATGTAGCCAACATTTGGAAGAAGAATGTTTTCAAGATGACTTGGATAATAGCGCGTTGTGACAAACACCAGATACAGCACTGGGACTTGATCAACGGCCGATACCGCACCGTGACGTCACAAACCAGTAGGTGGCAGTAGTGTTCTTTGACAAACATGGATGCCTCCAGTAAAGCACATTCACATGAAAATTACTCTGAATTAAAAACACTGATCATTTATCGAACAGGATGTAATAATTTCATATTTAAAGAACTTTAAGAAGTTTGAATTCTGAATATGACTGTACTTCTCCTTTAAGAAGGATCAGATGTCATTTTATCAGCTTCAAATGTACCATCTCTAACATGGCTTGTAATCAATATCTGATCCTGATCCTGCCTCCCTTTAGTCATGTATGAAATGTTTTTTTTAATTAAGGTCACATCACCATAAGCTTCAAAAACACCAAAAAGTAAGTAATAAAATACTTTTTTTTGTACATGACTAAAGGGATACACGCCCATTCAGGTACTTTAAAGTGTATTTTTTGTACAAAACTTAAGGGATAAATGGGTATTGGCTATATAGGTATGCTGGTCTGATCGGGTATGCTGATGTGACAGAACACCGGCTCCAGATCCAATTCAACTGACTGGAACAGTTTGCTCATCAGCAGGGTTGATTAGTCATTTATGGATTCTCATGTGGAACTCGCAATGACCCTCCTTACCAATAGGTGGCAGTAAGGTGTACCTCAACATAACCTATTTGATTCTTGCTGTCCTCTTCGCCAAACACCAATAAACCACAGGAGAAGAAGAAAAGCGACAAGTTTAACATCAGTCATATGTTCAGATTCTAGTTCATCCTTAATTAGTTTGCAGTATAATCACTCAGAAACCAGGCCTGATATTTTAATAGAAATTCAACAGACACTATATAGAATAAATATGATTGGTTTAATAATAAATGTTGAATGGATACCAGCACATTATGGAGTAAAAAAAAATGAAAAAGTAGATAATGCAGCAAAAGAAGCTATGAGAAATGTATCAGTGGATTTAATCATAAATTTTAGTAAATGTGAAGTTAAAATGCTAATTAAACTGAAAATGAAGGATAAAAGACAGCAATTAATTTAAAATTTAAGTAAAGCAAAAGTGAAACTACATTTATTTTAATTATTTAGAAGTTATTCAGAAAGTAAAATTTACTGGATAATATTTCGATATCTACAAATTACGTTGGAGTATAAGGGCCAGCGTATATATATACTTTTTTTATTTCAAAAATAAAGTCGTAACATTACGAGAATAAAGTCATAAGATTACGAGAATTGAGTAGTAAAATTGTGAGGAAAATTTAGCAATGAGAATAGCTGTGAAATTACGAGAATAAAGTCATAAAATTACAAGAATGTCACAAATAGAATAGTCATAAAATTACAAGAATTAAGTCGTAAAATTGCGAGAATAAAGTCACAACATTATGAGAATAAAGTCATAAAATTCCAAGCATAAAGAGGTAAAATTACGAAAATAATGTCAAAACGAGAATAGTCATAAAATTACGAGAATTAAGTTGTAAAATTGCCAAATTTAAGTCGCAATATTATGAGAATAAAGTCATAAAATTCCAAGCATAAAGAGGTAAAATTACGAAAACAATGTCCCAACGAGAATAGTCATAAAATTACGAGAATTAAGTTGTAAAATTGCCAAATTTAAGTCGCAATATTATGAGAATAAAGTCAAAAAATTCCGAGAATAAAGAGGTAAAATTACGAGAATAATGTCGCAACGAGAATAGTCATAAAATTATGAGATTAAAGAAGTAAAATTACGGAATAATGTCACAAATAGAATACCGGTAGTCATAAAATTACTAGAATTAAGTCGTAAAATTGCCAAATTTAAGTCGCAATATCATGAGAATAAAGTCAAAAAATTCCGAGAATAAAGAGGTAAAATTACGAGAATAATGTTGCAACGAGAATAGTCATAAAATTACGAGGATAAAGCCGTAAAATTACGGAATAATTTCACAAATAGAATAGTCATAAAACTACGAAAATGAAGTGATAAAATTGCGAGAATAAAGTCGTAACATTATGAGAATAAAGTTGTAAAATTACAGGAATAATGTCGCAACGAGAATAGTCATAAAATTACAAGAATTAAGTCGTAACATTTAAAGAATAAAGTCCTATTATCACAATAATAAAGTTGTATTTTGTATTGCTATTTTTAAACTTTGTTCTCGTAATAGTACGACTTAGTCTCGTAATATCACGACTTTTGTCTTGTAATGTTAATACTTTATTTTTGAAAAAAGATAAATAAATAAATAAAAATCTCTAGCCTGACCCCAATACTCCGTCGTAAAAAAAAAAAAACATTTGTATAATAGAAGTTAAATGCTGAGTCATTCTGGTACTCACTCCATACCAGTAGATGGCGCAAATGCATCAATTAGTTGTTTGACAACCGCCAAAAAATTTCAAAAAGAAGATTTTTAAAAAAGCGCCAAGACATAAAGGTGGAGCTCTGAAGTTCAGGGTTAATTAGATTTTTTGTTTTGAGTCAGCAATGTTCCCGTGTACCGACGGGGTGTGGGATGTGAGGCAGACCGGGGTGTGGTTACTGTCCGCTCCCCTGGCTGTGAGTGTGCCGGTGTGGCCAATGGAGCTATCCGCTCCCAGATCAGTTCCTGCTGGCAGCGACAGCGGCGCCATGTTTCCTCCACCGCCGCCCGGGCTACAGACGGTGTGGATGCGAAGGCAGCTCCTGCAGAGGTAAACCACCGAGCCTCCTCCTCCTCCTCATGATGAGACGTGAAGCAGTTTTTGTCTCGGTTCAGGTCTCTGTTTGAGCTGGTGGAAGCTAGGGGCGGTCTGGCCTTAACGGACACCGCGATGCTGGAATGGTACCTCAGCCTGGCGCCAGAGGACCGGAGGATCATTCTAGGTAGGTTTGTCCCTGGAGCCCGGTCCAGCACACCCACAGTCAATACCCGTTTATTCCTTTGCTTTAAACTAAAGAGATGAACTGATATTGACTGTGGACGATGATATGATGATGATATATTGCTGTTGACATTCATCCTTTTTTTTAAATGCACATTAATGTTTAACTACCCATAAATATAAATATCGGTATATATTTTGGTGCTTTTGTGTTCTCAACAATATGGAAATAGTTCAATAAATATATCTTTGAGCTTAATTTTGGAAAGAACAAACTGAATCGAAAGCGTATGTGTCGAGTAACTGTAAGTCCGATGCGTATCACAACCCTGAATACGCATCGGACCGTCGCAAACCCGCGCAGACCTGAAGCGGAAGTGCGCAGCCAAAACGCAGCTGTGACTGGTCCTTAGTATGCCTTTGCGGCTGTTGTCCATTGGAGGAACGGCTACAACGAAAAGTCAGTCTTTCTTTTTGCCAACTTCATTAACAGGACTAGTTCCTCTTCGATGTCTAGCAACTCTAGATCCATCTCCGTGATATCTAGCAGACGCGCCATTGTTGTTTTAAAAAAAATAAACTCTCCCGCCGGTGCCGCTGAAGTTCTCGTGAATAGGCTCCCCCTTTCGCTTTGGCGGGAAACTGCTGTGCGTCCCTAGAAATTCCAGACTGTGCAGAAGCATAGCAGCAAAACTGGTTCACAACCAGACCCAAGCCACATTTGATGCGTGCAGGAAGTCTAATCTGCCCTTAAACGTGTCTCCACCAACTTTCATCACAAAGTTACACCCTTGGACTTTATCCCTTTAGTTTTGTACGAAACACACTTCAAACTACCTCAGCGTACGTGTATCCCTTTGGTCATGTACCAAAAAAAATTAAATTACTTACTTTTTGGTGTTTTTTGAAGTGTATGGGATCTCACCTTAAATAGTTTTTTGTTGTTGTTGTTGTTTTAGATGATTCAAGTGATACATGCCCATACATAAGACACAATGTCGATGGCAAACCCAGTCAATAACTTCCAGTCAGTCTGAGATAGCCAGACTAATGTTACGCTACAGACTATACTATAGGATCCATCTGCGTATAGATGGATTTATTTGTTAGGTCATCCACTGACTGGGAAATTATCTTTGGAACGTCTTCCTGCAGCCAGGAAACTGCTTATTTTTGAAGCCAAATGCTTCACACGTAGGCATTTTTATGGCGCGTCTCCATGGGTGTGGGGAGTACCAATATGGCGGCCGATATCTTCACTTTTTCAGGGCTATCAGCAATCCAGTGAATAAATAGACTTTATGGAAGCCTATGATCTCTATTTGTTTACTGGATAACCGATTGGCCGTTGGTCACTGTGGTAATTTATCCCTTTAGTCATGTACAAAAAAACAATATAATTTGTTTAATTATGTAACATTTGTCATATTGTCTAAGTTGATTATTTAACTGGGAAGGTGAGTAATTGGTTGAGTTTTCAGTGGTTAAAATAGGATGAAATTGGTTTGTTTGCTGTTTCTTTAAAGGCACACTATGCAACATTTTTCAGTTAATTAATGTGTTCCATAACGTTTTGGATGATTAAATGAGTCATTTCAGGTTGAACAAAGGTATTCTCGGCCGCCCTGGTGGTCTGTGGGGGAAATACTGCACTTGCAACTGCAGGAGCACCGACCCGCACCCACAGGCTCAGAAGTCTCGTGAGAGTCAGTCTTGCTTTACGGCGAGAACTGCTACACGGCCCCAGTTAAAAGCATTCTCGTTGCTAGCACAGTGGCAATCTTTGTGCAGTTATGCTACGTTCACGCAGCAAAAGCAGCAAAATCGCGTCTGCTGCTTCATTTTTGATGCTTGTACCAGTTAGTTCTGACGCGCGACTGAAGCAGCTTTGCAAAAGTGTGTCTGACGCGCGTTGGGCGGAGCTTCACTATCCTTTCTCTGCCTTGCAGCTATATTTGCTGTGATCATTTGGAATAAAGTAGTTTTAATATGTGTTTAAGTGAGAAAATACACCTGAAAACGTAATCAGTGCCGTCAGTTCATTCAGATTATTATCCTGCCTTCAATATTTTTTCTGTCGGAGCCGCTGAGACCCCCACATACCAGGGATGCGCCGACAGTATGGATCCCTTCATCAGCAGCCTCTGGCCGGGTTGCCTCCTCGCTATTCACCGCGGCAGCTGGTAGGTGTTTTGCATCTAAATAATCCAAACTGCATATTCTGCCGGCAGATTTCTGCATTTTAAATTAATTTAGGCGTCAATGAACTGTTTAAGAGGAGAGATCATCAGCGCTGTGTCTCTCTCCCTGCGTCAGATGCTTAAACGCACCCGACGCGCTGCTTCAGCTGCTCAGACGTGCTGCGCCTGCTGCTCAAAACGCACCGCGGGACCTTTTGCTGCGCCTTGACGCGCGTCAACCATTGACTTTGCATGTAAACTCGCTGCTTCTGTCGCGCCAGCTACGTCCAGTGCGAACGCAGCATTAGTCATTCGCTGCTAAGCTCAAAACAACCGCGCCTGGCTTGACGGAGAAACGTGGAGAACAGCTGTGCATATTTACGACAGTGCACTTTTACTTTCGCCCTCTGGGGGGAGCCTCGCTGGAAAATCAACACCGGTTGCACAGTGTACCTTTAACCTGGAACTGGAGTCAGGTCAAACAGCACATCTGGTGCTGAACAAGGTCAGTTTCAACTTCTACTGGATCTTAACTATATTAATACAGGGTTCCTGCAGGTCCTTAAAAAGTCTTAAAAGGCATTGAATTCTTCAAAATAAAACTAAGGCCTTAATTGGTATTAAAATGTCTTAAATCAGTCTTTTGAAGGTCTTAATTTTCAAAACATCATAAATAGGATTATTTTTATTACGATTTGTTTTTGTAATCTAAATAAAACGTTAAAATTGACAATTTTTTTGTCAATAAAAAATAATGGCTCGCCATTATTGGTTCCGTCCCGATAGCGGAACCAATAAAAGCGTTGTTGCGGCCGGGACATTTGGGAGATGCACCGTTAACTTTTTGTCTGGTAAATATGAGCAAGTGTAAATGTAACCAAAATTGTCTCCAGCCAAGAGTTTTCTCCATGGCTAAAACCAGGGAACATACATGAGGCTCAGTGGATTTATGCAAGAAGTCATTCAAGCTCAGAAAGATGGGAATTAAGGCAGTGGAGTCGCACATGCGAAGCGCGAAACACAAAGCATCAAAATGGAGTTAGAGAGAAACAGCCGGTATTTCTCAGTTTAGTTCCACCCTTGTCTCTGCAACGCCTCCACTTATCACCAAATCAAACATACTAAGAAAACCATACAAAGAAAAATAGCTGCAAAAAAGACTTAGCACTGGTTATGTTGGGGCTTTAAAACTGACTTGTTTTGTTCCCTGCTAAAACAAAGTTTGTGAAATCAGTTAAATAATTGTTAAAATATATCTGTCATTTGTGTGTTTTTAGCTTTCTTCCTGTATGGGAAGCTTTTCAAAATTTGAAACATTAGTGCAGTGGTTTATGTTAAAATAAACCTTTGGGTTAAGTTGTCGCAAGCAGGTTTTTCTTGTGTTTCTTGTGAATTTGGTCTTAAATTTTTATTTCAAGCGGCATTAAAAAGTCTTGAATTTAACTTGCCTTATTCTGTAGGAACCCAGCAAACTGTATTCCACCTGTTTCTTAAGGATCAAATCTTTTCTGGAATCTCAACATATCATTATCTATATTTGCTATTATTTTTCATTTCATCGCTGATCTAAATCAGCTGAAAGTAGAAAACAATCCTCATCAGTCTTAAAACAAAGTACTGCCTTCTAAGACAGGCTGAGCTGCCCAGCTCTCCCCCTTTATATCGCGGTCTAACAGTTACTTTGTTCACCAGAAACAAAGTTTTAACAGTCAAGTAAAACTTCATCACTCATACTACAGAAGTATGGAGGACCAATCCTGCCAAAATGAAAATAAATCCAGAAATAAATAAATGCTCAATAAATAAATAAATAAGCAAGCAATTAATTGCTTGCTTATTTATTGAATAAATGTTGGTAGAAATTAAATTCTACAGTGAGACATAAATGTATACATCTCTTTTAATTAGTGTCTTGATTTATTCGCTTTTTTTATAATTACCTTATTTATTTATTGTCCGTTATAATCTTCAACTTAAATATTTATTATTTTAAGTATTTATTTATGTGCATGTGATAATATTTTTGTCTGTATTATTCTTAGGGTTGTCACTAGAGGTGAGTATTGGCATGAGTGTTGCGATTCGATACATGTCGCAATACTTGGTTCACGATACGATATCACGATATTGCAGTTTCACTATATATTGCCATATTTTCCCCAGCTATCAAAATCAAATGATGAGATAAAACAGCAAGTGCTGTATATTTTCATCAGAAAATATTGATTAGGTATTATTATCCATGTTGTTTGGGGTTTTTTCTTCCACTGTGACTGCCTCAAATACAGATTTGGTGCTGCAGGCACAGTTAAAGGGCTCCACAGCGGGTTCTGCCAGAGTGGTGGTGCAGAGGTAGCCCATTTTCCCATCAATGTTTTATGTAACCATTTTTTTTTTTTTGGGAAAATCGATAGTAAGAAATGAAAGATCGATATCATATTGGGCAGCCAAATACCACGATATATCGCCAAAACGATTATTTCCCACACCCCTAGTTGTCACAGTACTAAACTTTTCAACTCGATACCGATACTAAGGAAAATATTCGATACTCGATACCTTTTTCGATACAAGGATAAAAACAAAGACTCCAAAATTCTACAGAAATATTTCCATTAATAAATAAAAAAACTATAAATAAATACAATAAACAATAAGAACAATATTTTGAGGTTGTATACTGTGCACAACATTAAGCATGCTTCATAAAACTAGAATTAAGTGTTCCTTCCTTGGCTTTGCTTTGCACATATAACAATGACACTAGCCAAAACGGTTAAGAAACTGAAATAATTCTCAGCAGCTGCACCTGTTACAAAAAAAAAATTTGAAACTGAAAAGTGCGTAGAATTATTCAATCACACAGTGTTCTGAAAGTGCATTGTCCTCAATTCTGCAATTTAGATGAATGACTGCTTAGGTGCCACTGGTGGTAGCACTGTATCGATACTTATAAAAACGAGTATTGTATCTGGATACAAAGTTTCAGTATCTATACTTTTTTTGAGTATCGATACTTTTGACAACCCTAATTATTCTTTCTTTGTATTTTTTTACCCTATTTATTTCTTCCATGCTACTTAATCCTGCCTGTCGTATTTACATTTCTGTCGGCATTTCTACCTCATTATGCAAATGAGGAGGGGGCGTGTCTTAAGGGCTCAACTTCTGCCCATTGGTTGGTTAGCATTTACTGCATTGGTCGAATCTGCAGGAGGAGAGGAGAGTCTGAAGAGGGCGAGTACGGACTCGTGTTCTCACCAAGTATGTTCTTGAGAAGAACCCAGGAAAATCGGGTTTCGGGGAAAACGGGAGCACGCAGAATAAATATGGGTCCATTGGAACAGAAGCCTACTGATGACGTCACCACACGCTCAGCTCCTCCTGTTATTAATAGTCTCTAGATAATAATAAATTCTGACTTTTTTCATTTAGTGGGGAATAATAATTGGAACAATCAGATAAAAACAAATCAAATGAAAACTTTGCCAAATACAACAAAAAATCGGCACCATAGCCAGCGGTCCTTCACACACGGCTATGCCGAGAGAGGGCCGCTGCAGACCGGCTAACGTTAGCCCTGGCTGCCGTTAGCCTCGGAGCTCCGCTGGTTGCCGAGGTCCTCTCCAGTTCGGAACATTTTCTTTTAAATTACGCATAAAATCGGTAAATGGGCCATATAGTGACACTTAAAAGTATAATGTTCTCACCTCAAATGATCTTTAAACAAACTTTTATTGGACACCAGCAACAGAAAAGTTAACATTAAATTTAATACTCTGAGCTCTGTGAGTTAAGAAGATGAGCTGCCAACCAATGAGCAGAAGCTGGCCCTCTAAGACACGCCCCCTCATCATTTGCATAACAAGGCAGAAATGTAAATACGACAGGCAGGAATAAATAGCATGGAAGAAATAAATAGGGGAACAAAATACAAAGAAAGAATAAAACAGACAAAAATATTATCACATGCACATAAATGAATACTTAAAAAATAAATAATAGATAAATAAAGTTGAAGATTATAACGGACAATAAATAAATAAGGTCATTATTACAAAATGGGAAAAATGAAATAAGCTAATTATTAAAAGAGATATATACATTTATGTCTCACTGTTGTTCTATTTTTGAGGGCCAATTATTGTATGCTTATTTATTTTTGGAGCATTTATTTATTTCTGTATCTTTAATTATGGCAGGATTGGTCCTCCATACAGATGCTCCAGACTCTGCACACTGACGCTGCTACGGCAGGCTAGTCCACTTTGCTGAAATTTCATTGCAGCAACTCAAAATGGTATTCAGTCATTTCTATGGCCCCCACGTGCGTGTATGCATGCCTGACAACGTCGGGGCGTGCTGCTAATGAGACGACGGATGGTGTCCTGGGGTATCTCCTCCCAGATCTGGACCAGGGCATCACTGAGCTCCTGAACAGTCTGAGGTGCAACCTGGCGGCGTCGGATGGAAACATAATGTCCCAGAGGTGTTCTATTGGATTTAGGTCAGGCGAGCGTGGGGGGGCCAATCAATGGTATCAGTTCCTTCTAGGGGTGGAACGGTTCACAAAATCCACGGTTCGGTTTGATTCACGGGTTCGTGGTCACGGTTTTCGGTTCGATTCGGCATATGTTGATTGTTACACCGAAATCCCATAAAAATGTATGAAATTAATGAAAAAATCCCCCCCAAAATAATGGATTGTAATTATTTTAAATGATCCGTGGAAACCCTGGATCATTTCCGTATGTTTTGCTGCTTTGAATTTAATCATCAGGCACTCAGAGGGGAGCGGACGGGAGCCACAGTGGAGGCTGCAGGCTTTGCTTTGAGCAGCCGGTCTGGAGCGCAGCGGTGCAGAGCGGGGGTTGCTGACGGAGTATGAGGGATTTCGGGGTTAGCATGACATGTTGCTGTTAGCATAAACAAAACGTGTTGCACGTTTATCCACAACTTTCTTTCCGCCGTCATAGTAGGTCACTCTAAATGCAAAGTGGTCCCATACAGCAGACCTATAAAGTGCTGCTGGCGCGTCTTCCAACTCCTGTTCTTTCCCACTCGCCATACCCACACAATTCTCCACAACAACTGATTTTTTTCTGCTACACCCGGCTACGCTGCTTCGCTTCTTCTTGTTTACTACTGGTGGTTGGCTTTGGTCGCAGTACCGCCACCTTCTGCTCTGGAGTGTAAACGCTTCGCCTTTGAGAAAAAGGAGCAGAGCATGAACCGAACGAAACACACGCGAATCGAACAGAGACAGTCGAACCGAACGGTTCGGACGGTTTTCATAAATCGTCCCATCCCTAGTTCCTTCATCCTCCAGGAACTGCCTGCATACTCTCACCACATGAGGCCGGGAATTGTCGTGCACCAGGAGGAACCCAGGACCCACTGCACCAGCATAGGGTCTGACAATGGGTGCAAGGATTTCATCCCGATACCTAATGGCAATCAGGGTGCCGTTGTCTAGCCTCCCTAGACCATCACTGACCCACCACCAAACCGCTCATGCTGAACGATGTTACAGGCAGCATAACGTTCTCCAGACCCTTTCACGTCTGTCACATGTGCTCAGGGTGAACCTGCTTGCATCTGTGAAAAGCACAATTCCGGGTTCTGTGGCAAATGCCAATGGAGCTCCACGGTGCCGGGCAGTGAGCACAGGGCCCACTAGAGGACGTGGGGCCCTCAGGCCACCCTCGTGGAGTCTGTTTCTGATTGTTTGGTCAGAGACATTCACGCCAGTGACCTGCTGGAGGTCATTTTGTAGGGCTCTGGCAGTGCTCCTCCTGCTCCTCCTTGCACAAAGGAGCAGATAGCTGTCCTGCTGATGGGTTGTAGACCTTCTACGGCCTTGTCCAGCTCTCCTGGAGTAACTGCCTGTCTCCTGGAATCTCCTCCATGCTCTTGAGATTGTGCTGGGAGACACAGCAAACCTTCTGGCAATGGCACGTATTGATGCGCCATCCTGGAGGAGTTGGACTGCCTGTGCAACCTCTGTAGGGTCCAGGTAGCGCCTCATGCTAAAGTAGTGACAGTGACCCTAGCCAAATGCAAAACTGGTGAGAAAGAGTCAGAAAAGATGAGGAGGGGAAAATGTCAGTGGCCTCCAGCTGTAAAACCATTCCTGTTTTGATGGTCGCCTCGTTGTTGGCCCTCATTAATTTCATTAACATCAAAGCAGCTGAAACTGTTAAAAACCCCCTTTGCTACTTACCTGACCAAATCAACATCCCAGAAGTTTAATTAACTTGATGCTATACTCTGATTACAAAGTGTTCCTTTCATTTTTTTTGAGTATTGTATTTTCCAGCTTAATAAAAGCCGTAGCATGACTTTGACTTCTTAGACTGGTTTGATATTTACATTTGATTAGATGAACTATTAAGATTGTAAAATGGTGCTGCAGATAATGGAGGGAAGTTCGTTTCTGTGATGTGATTAAAGAAAATGTAAAACCCCTGTTAGAACTAGAGGCGTATAATTGTTATTAGATATCCTCCTTATTTAGCTTTGTCTTTCCTAATGGAGCATTTCAGTATAAAACTAGGTCTGATTTTGGTCTCTTAAAATGATTTTCTCTTTCCAGGTGAAGGAGGCCTCCAATTCTTCCTGCAGAATCATCCCAACCTGGAGGTGTTGGAGGATTATGTTTATTTGAAGTGTAAGTTTGTGGATGCGTTATGATGTTTAACCTGGATCCTTCCTAAACCAATAACCATTTTTAAAGAGCTGGTCACCATCTCTGACGCTCTCCTGAATCCCAGCTCTGATGTGCTACACACTCAGGAGAACTTTAATAAATCCTTTACCAACCGGAGTTCATTCAGAGTAACTTGTTGGCTTGAAACGTCGTCTATCTCGCTTTCTTAACCAAAAATCCAGGATGATTTAGCACAGAACTGATTCAGAGTTCTCCCTAAAACAGAACCAAAGCTAATCTCGGTTCGTCTGTGCGGAGAATCTTAAGCCCATTTCCAACTACCTGCATGTTCAAACTCCTTGGACGTTTAGCACATGAATCTGGATATTTTAGAAATATTACTGTGGGGTAAAGATCTTCATAGCCCCAGAACCGCTCGTATTTTTCTGCGTGCTCTCGTTCTCCCAATGTCCAGACTTTCCCGTGTTCTGTTTAAGAACACACTTGTTGAGGACACGAGTCCGTACTCGCGTTGTTGTGAGTTTCAAAAGGTCAAAGTTTCAAAATGACCTTTCAAACAGGATGTTCATTGTGCTGTTTTTGCTAGCTTAGCAGTAGCTCATTTGTTGTGTTGTCAACAGAAAAAAGGCACCTGTCCTGATCCAGAGAGCAAGCGCTAGCTGACTTAAACACACCTGGCACGCCTACGTGGCTGTTGCTTCCACGTCAAAAATTGAAGACTTGACTGATGGTTTTTAGTATTTATTTCCAGGCTCCATGAAAGTAACTCGTTGAAACCAACATGAGAACCGACAAACAGAAAATGCATTTAATTACAGTGATGTTCTTCATCTCTGTACGCGACACAGTGCAGCTTTTCCAAACGTGAGAAAAATGTAGCATAGCATTAGCTTTCTAAACAAATCTCTGAGGTAAATACAGGCATAATTTTCTGCACATTACCACTAACCTCGTGCCTCCTCAGGGGCGGGTTGAGGTTACTCTTTATCTTACAGATGTCTATTATTCATACTGTTACTTATCTCCGTTTTGTTTTCCTTAAACTTCTTACTTTTACCGGTAGCTTGTTCTGTTTTTGCCTCCGGAGTGTAATACTGACAGGAAGTAGTTCGCGTTTTTTCAAAATAAAGCTCATTATAACCAAAAACTCAAAACCGAGCAATTTGCATATCAAAACACATGAAATACATTTCTTATGGCAAATACAAACCATGAACTGTATTTTATACCCTTAAATCATGAAAATAAATGCATTGAAAAATGGCTCAACTATATGGTAAAGGAATATTTTAGTATTTTTAATGACCAAACAGGTGGTTTGCTACACCCTGTATAATCAGAGTGCGGGGAACTCAGATGTACAGAAAAGTAGCGTCTCCTCTGGTTTCTATTGGCCGAGCATCCGTTAGCTGCCTGGCAGAGCTTTCACTGTGGACCGTTGCACAGACCATACAGTTTAAAAACATTGGATTTCAGGGAGCAGCATCCTGTTGACTTTAAAACAGGTGGATTGTTAAAAATTAATTTCCTTTAAGTTGCTTTCAGTCTCGACCCTCTTCAGATCGTCTGCAGCAAAGTGAGACGAAGGTGTTTCCAGGTGACTTTCAGAACGGAGCGAATCGATCACAGCTACAGCTGCCTGAGGGCGTCCACAGTGACCCTGCCGTCCACCTGACCGGCCACAGCGACCCGCTCACACAGAACCAGAGCAGAGTGAGTGAAGACGCTTCAGCATGTGAGGCAACCAAACCAGTATGTCGTCGGTGAAAGACGCTTCTTGTTTCTCAGCTGAACAGCGGCACAGCAGCGACGCCTTTAGTCATGGAGTCCGACCAAAGCAGACAGAGAGGAGAGTCCAGTTATTGGATCCACGACCCGGTAGCACACCACCAAAGTTATGCTTCTACACTTCAGACACGGTGAGTTTTTATTCGGGCAGAAGGATTTTGACAATTTAGCAAATTTATTTGGATTTTCCTTTGCACCAACTCCAAGCTTATAGATGTTTCACCCCAGGCTGGTTTCAGAAAGCTGAAGCCCCTGACACATGATGATTTAGATCAGCGAATGACTGACTTACAAAAAATCTGGCTGAAACGCTGGCATACGTTGGATAAGCTATGGGGGCGGTTTCGCATTTTAAAAAAAATACACCACCTCGCATAGTATAGCCATGATCTGCTTATCTGTTCTCCATTTTTCATTTGGATGAAATAATAGCTGCATGAATCATGACAGCAGACAAGATAGAGGAGAGCAGGAGGCGGGGTTACCAATCTACTCGCTCTGGAGAGCAGAGTTCGCTGCTTTTAGATGTTGTCTCCAAAGTCTCCAGTAGCAGAAAAAAGTCTAGATTTGGCGCTAGGAGCTTTTTAGAAATCAAAGTGCTAGAGGGGTCTGAAAAGTGGCTAAATATAGCGACTAAAGCGCTAAGTTGGCAACACTGCTCTTTGCATGGTTTGTTTTCAAATGGTTTGCTGCTGTCTGTTTGGACCTTTCTGAACATGTGCAGCAAATGGACTGATCCAATATGGGGGACACTGAAGGGGGGGGCTGAGACACACTTAATAGTATCAGCTCTCTGATGGCATTTTAACAAACAGATTTTTATGAAAAAATAATGTGCACAAATGAGGAATAGTTGTATTAACCCTACATGTAAACGGTTTTATGGGCCCCCAGGAACAGTCAGCCATAACAAAACTTTCAACAATCAAAACACAATATATAAAACGGAAAAGCTACAACAGTGGAGTTTAGGGACATTTCTAGTTTTTATCGATGGCATCTATGTTCCAGTGTGTTTAATCCTCATATGTGGAAGTTAACAGCTTTGTTTCTTCTTTTCTATGGAAAAGCTGGATTCATGTCCAAGAAGAATATTCATTTAAAATGACTACTTAAAGAACAAATCTTGCAATGAAAGTTAAGAACTAGGATCCCTTTTAGGATGTAATGAAATGTGAAGTGGAGTAAAAGTTTGGAGGCAATCTGCCGTGTGGTTTGGTTTCAGGGCGGAGCTCCAGCCTCCTCCTCCTCCTGCCGGCTCTACAGGAGGAGACCTGAGGAGAGAATGGGAGAAATCTCACAGCCTCATTAATGATGACAGGAGCATCCTGATGTGCTTGACCAGTGAAAACTTGTCGATGCCAGATGATAAGGCTCCAGTTCAGCCAGTTTATGACAACAGCTGCAACCCCCCCGGCGTAAAGAGGACTGCCGCTGCTTCCTGTTGTGATGCAGGACTGGACTCCAAGCCGAAGAGCTTCACATCGATCAGCACTCAGACCGAAGCTCCAAGCTCAGCGGAGAAGAGCGTCATGACTGTGGTTCTTATGTCTGATCTGGACTGTCTCTCTGAGGTGAGGTTGGAGCCCAACCAGCTGTGGACTGTTGTTTTCCATGTTTTTACACCTTCTTTGTCCTTTCAGGAGTTAAAAAGACTCCAGATGCCTGAAGAATGCAATGAGACAGAGAAAAAGAGACAAAGGTAACGTTTCGGCCTCGATCATTTCCTATTGCAACGCAACGTGTTTCATGTCTAAAAGATCCAGTAAGATAAGGACTGAAATGATTGAATATTTGGCTCTCTAAATCCGGGGTGGGCAACAAAGAGCCAAATTGAACCAAAAAAAAAATCTGTCTGGAGACGCAAATATTTCAATTCAGTTTATTTCTATAGCTCCAATTCACATCATATGATCTCAGGTCACTTTCCAGTTCACCAGATCATCCAGTCAGATTGATTCAAAGTTTTCTATGTAAGGAAAACCAGCTGATTGCATCGACTCATTGACTCTTCAGCAATCCCTCACACTAAGCATGCTTGTAGCGACAGTGGAGAGGAAAAACTCCCCTTGAACAGGAAGAAACCTCCAGCAGAACCAGGCTCAGTGTGAGCGGCCATCTGCTGAGGCCGACTGGGGTTCAAGGAGTCAGAAGCAGACCTAGAAAAAGAAGCATAGATACAAAAGGCAACTGTCAACCAGCTCCACAGGCGGCCCCGTCCAGGAAACACACAGCCAGGCAGACGAGCTCCGAGCCAGCTCCCATGTCAGAGGATGAAGAGAGCACATCCAGTTAGTCACAGTCAGAGAAACAGGACTACACTGGAAAACAGGCCGATCTCCAACATCTAGAAACAAAGGTGTTGATGGCAGCAGCACAGCTGATGTTTCTCTCCAGGATGGAGTCACAGCCAAACAGGAACAGACCAGATGAAGCTACTATGAGAAAAAGCAGAGAGAGCAGAACGTTAGAGATTGAACTAACAGATTCTGCAGAGTGGGAGAATAGAGATAGAATGATGAAAAAGGGGTCCCTATGTCCTCCAGCAGTCTAAGCCTATAGCAGCAGAACTACAGAGATAGCTCAGGATAACCCGAGCCACTCTAACTATAAGCTTAGCCTTAAAAGTAAAATCCATTTAGTGGTTTTCTATCTACTTCTCATTGGACTTTTTGTTTAGAACTGCACTGCATTGCTGTCCTACTGCAGACATCACCTTTTGGACCTTAGGAGCAACAATTTTCACAGCTTTATCGCTGATCTCTGACTCATCCCAGAGCTTCAGAGCACCCCTCCTGGGTGGAAATGCACTCAGACGGAGATGAGAATGTAAACAAAGATGGTGTAAGCATGGCGGGATGCAAGCAACGCTTAAGCTAACAGCACCTCTGCTCCCTTTACCAAGCATTTTCGTCACCAATGTTCATTCTCTGGGGAACTAAACGGACGAGCTACGACTATCCATCGCGAATGATAGCTCAGCTGTCCAGACAGTGCAATTGAGCTAACGGGATGCCATACACAGGATAGCAGATGACTGGCAAGACCAGAGGTGGAGGTTTGTGCATTTATATTAACAAAGCTTGGTGCACAGACCCTACTACCGAGAGACGCTGCTCACAGAATGTGGAGTTTTAATGGTCAAATGTAAACCTTATTACCTTCTATCATCCTCTGTATATTCCCCTGGATGCTAATGCCAAGCTAGCCATGAAAGAATGTTATACGGCCATTAGCAAGCACCAAACCAAACACCCCGAGCCTCATTTTAATTCCATTCAGTATATTTATATGGCGCCAATTAAAAACAGATGTCATCTTAAGGCACTTAACAGCACTATAAGCTACTGTACAATAAAAGCAACCACTTTTATTGTTGCGGGTGATTTCAACCACTCCATCCTGAAGACATCTTGAGATTCCACCAACATGTCTCCTGCCAGACCGGAAGAGACCCTGGACCATGTCAACTTTAACCTCGCTGGAGCTTACAGGCGACACCCCTCCCCCATGTCAGCAGCCCACTGCTCCCCAAGGGGATGGGTTAAATGCAGAGTTCATTTCGTTGCTCTGTACTTGCAACAGTGTAATGACGATAAAGTTAAATTATATTCCTTTAAAGTAACAAATGCATGGACAAGTATGTCAGCATCACCACTGGACAAATTTCAATTTTTTTTAAATCTTCCCCAGATGAAGCCTAGAAACCTCTTTGATCTGGGATTTAAATGACGGGTCCTGATCAAAAACAACACCAAGATTTTTTACTTTATTATCTGAAATCAGTTTAATCCCATCCAAATGAAGTGACTGGCTAATCAGCTTCTTTTTAAAGACTCTGGTCCAAAGACTATAACTTCTGTTTTGTCTGCATTCAGAAGCAGAAAGTTAAGAGTCATCCAGGTTTTTATGTCTTCAAGACATGCCTGTAATCTATGTAATGGGTTAGCTTCATCTGGATTATAGACAGATATAGCTGGGTATCATCAGCATAACAGTTGAAATTAATCCCATGCTGTCTAATAATTCTACCGATTAGGAGCATATATAAGGTAAAGAGAATTGGTCCTAGCACTGATCCCTGTGGTACTCCACAGGTAACCTTTGAGCATGAGGAAGATTTATCATTAACGTGAACAAACTGAAATCGATCAGATAGAAATAATTTAAATCAGCCTAGAGCTGTTACTTAAATTCCTACAAAATACTCAAGTCTTTCTGAAAGAATATCCTGTTTAGAACTTCTGGATAGATGCAAACTACATTTTGTTGCTTTCAGTGTCATATCGTAACAAAGTAAAAATACTTCACTACTGTACTTAAGTATATTTTGGAGCACTTTATACTTTCCAAGCGTATACATTTTTTTGAGAACTTTTACTTCACTACATTTACAAACTTAATTGCATACTCTAATACATTATCGATGTTTGGTTTAGTTACTAAGTGGAGAAAAAAAAAAAACGAGAGAGAAAAACGCCAGTGTTTTGACCCCACCTACCGACTACAAAGTCGGGTCTTGCCTGGGCTTGTTCATCAACACCAATAGGATACGCCTGTTTCACAAAACCAGTCTGAATTTATCCTAAACTTGGTTGTTTATATTATTTTAAGTGAATTAAACCTTCAAGCAGGGTTCCCGCGGGTCCTTAAAAAGTCTTAAAAGGCATTGAATTCTTCAAAATAAAATTAAGGCCTTAATTGGTATTAAAATGTCTTAAATCAGTCTTTCGTAGGTCTTAATTTTTAAGACATCATAAATAGGATTACATTTTTATTACGATTTATTTTTGTAATCTAAATAAACTTTAAAATTGACAATATATATATTTTTTTTTATATATATAAAAAAAAATAACAGCTCGCCATTATTGGTTCCGTCCCGATAGCGGAACCAATAAAAGCGTTGTTGCGGCCGGGACATTTGGGAGATGCGCCATTAACTTTTTGTCTGGAAAATCTGAGCAAGTGTAAATGTAACCAAAATTGTCTCCAGCCAAGAGTTTTCTCCATGGCTAAAACCAGGGAACATACATGAGGCTCAGTGGATTTAGTGCAAGAAGTCATTCAAGCTCAGAACGATGGGAATTAAGGCAGTGGAGTCGCACATGCGAAGCACGAAACACAAAGCGTCAAAATCGATTTACAGAGAAACAGCCGGTATTTCTCAGTTTAGTTCCACCCTTGTCTCTGCAACGCCTCCACTTATCACCAAATCAAACATACTAAGAAAACCATACAAAGAAAAATAGCTGCAAAAAAGATAGGGATGCACGATATTGGGATTTTGGCCGATATCCGATATGCCGATATTTTAAAACTCATGTAGCCGATAACCAATATCGATACTGATGTTAAAGGAATAGTACACCCAAAACATGATTAGCCTTCATTTTCTACTCACCCCCATGCTGAACAACACTCTGGAGTACTTTTTTGATATCTCAAATGCATCTGGAGATCTGGGAGGCTTCTTGCTGTCTGCTGACATTCACATAATGGAGGTCTATGGAGCCCGAGGCAGAAAGGTCCATAAAAGTCCACAAAAAACGTGTCAATATTCCTCCATACTGCTCGTCCAATGTATTCCAAGTGTCCTGAGTGGGTAGCGTCCATAATTTACTCGAAGCGAAGTCATTTAGAATGTTTTTAGAGCATAAACAGTAGTGTATAGGATTTCTTAAAAGCGCGTTCACGACGCTACGGAAGCCGGCAGACCAAACCAGAGGAAAGTGCGCACTCAGCGTCTGCTCTGCCGATAATGCAAGCGTAGAAGAAGAAATGTGCTGTTTACCTGTGCAAAGAAAGAAACAACGAAAGAAAAATGTCTGAGGACTTCAGTGTTGAGGAAGAGCATGAGTTCTTTGCCGAGCTGATTGCGCACTTTCATCTGGTTTGGTCTGCCGCGGTTTCCGTAGACTCGTGAACGCGCTTTCAGGAAATCCTATACACTACTGTTTATGCTCTAAAAACATTCTAAATGACTTCGTTTCGAGTAAATTCTGGATGCTACCCACTCAGGACACTTGGAATACGTTGGACGAGCAGTATGGAGGAATATTGACACGTTTTTTGTGGACTTTTATGGACCTTTCTGCCTCGGGCGCCATAGACCTCCATTATTTGAATATCAGCAGACAGCAAGAAGCCTCCCAGATCTCCAGATGCATTTGAGATATCAAAAAAGTACTCCAGAGTGTTGTTCAGCATGGGGGTGAGTAGAAAATGAAGGCTAATCATGTTTTGGGTGTACTATTCCTTTAAGGCTGGGAAAAAATAAGTAGTCATTGAAAATAGCAGTTTTGTTATCCATTTCTGACACTTTGAGAAATAATATACTCAAATATATTTTCATATGCTGATATCAAATAGATTTTTAAAAACGCGGTTTCGAACTATTTTACTTTCAAAATGTCATCGTTCTGTTACAAACTCTAGTGATATTTTGCAAATTCTTGTGAGATTTTGTTAGTAAAATAGATCGATACCGCGTCAATATATCCACATATAAAAATATGGCAAACTTTCTGGAATTTTCGGGGGATTTCGTAGCATAACGATGACATATAGCAATATTTCATTAGTAAAAGAGATTGATATGGTGTTTTTAAACGGAAATATATCAGCATATGAAGATATTGGGATATTTTTATGTATCAATATTTTTTCCTCGTCTTTAGAAGTTTTTTAAGTCTGTAAAAAAGAAGTTTTTGAGGAAGAAGAAGTATTTTTTTTTTTTTTTTTTTTTTTTAGAAGTTAGAAACTCAGAAGCTGATCAAATATCGGGTTAAATATCGGTGGGGTGGCCGATGTCCAATATTCAGTTTTAAGGCCGATACCGATAGGGGGCCGATTATATCGTGCATCCCTAAATAAAGACTTAGCACTGGTTATGTTGGGGCTTTAAAACTGCTTGTTTTGTTCCCTGCTAAAACAAAGTTTGTGAATTCAGTTAAATAATTGTTCAAATATATCTGTCATTTGTGTGTTTTTAGCTTTCTTCCTGTATGGGAAGCTTTTCAAAATTTAAAACATTAGTGCAGTGGTTTATGTTAAAATAAACCTTTGGGTTAAGTTGTCGCAAGCAGGTTTTTCTTGTGTTTCTTGTGAATTTGGTCTTAAACTTTTATTTCAAGTGGCATTAAAAAGTCTTAAAAAGTCTTGACTTTAGCTTGCCTTATGCTGTAGGAACCCTGTTCAAATTTTACCAAAATGTAAAAAAATGTCATTCAAACTTCACTTACTTTTTACTTATACTTTTCACTACATTACTTGAGTGCATCTATTTTTACAGTAATTCTTATACTTAAGTACAAGCCATTTCAGATACTTTAAGACTTTTACTCAAGTAACATTTCATTCAGTGAATTGGACTTTTACCAAAGTCATATTTTGGTGAGGTACTGATACTTTTACTTTACTCTGAGATTTCAGTACTTTATACAACACTGGTTGGTTAGTATTTGTGACAGTATAGTGACAATAAAGTTGAATTCTATTGTAAATATCAAATTTTTCTCTCTACAGAGCCAAAGACCTGCCTGCAGAAACAAAGAACATCCTGCAGAAACTGGAGAGGGACTATAAGCTGCTGCAGCAGCAGCTCCTAATGGGGGTTCCTTTGGAGCAGCTAAGTCCTCTGTGTGTGGACCCTAAGGTCACCCCCCCTGGAGCAGGTTCCTCCCCTCCACAGGTGAGATGCTGCCCTCATCTCCCAGCACAGAGACCCCATGATCTGGTTTGGACTCTGACTCCTGTTTGTGTTTAGGTCATTGGTGACGCAGGCGAAAATCCTCCTTGGTATGTTGAACATTTTTGTCGTTAAAGCAAACCAGTAAAGCCTGGCAAACACTGTACGATATTTTAATGTTGTACGACAAAACCATAAGGTTTAAAACTTTACAGCTCACGATTTATGTTGTTATACTGTACGTGCAAAAACCACACGTCAGACACGTCACTCTCGAAGAAAAACAACTCCCTTATTTGCACGTGCGAGGTGCTGGTAAATTGGCTCGTAGCTCTGCTTCATCTGCAGGATCTGCTCACAAACACCTCATGAGGGCATGAATTGATTTTCTCCCGACCTTACGATTCCTAATCCAGAGGTTTTTGTTGGAGGCTAATCGCCCCTTGTTACCCGCTGTATACTACATGACACATGACGCACGATCAGGATCCAAAAGTTTTGCACGACTGGAGAATCGGCCCTAAAAGGGTAAAAACTCGTACAGTGTCTGCCCGCCTTTAGATTGTGTTTATGTGATGTGAGGACAGAACAAAGCCTGCCTGACGGAACTTCTGGTTGTTGTGTAACTTTGACCTCTAACCTCTTTAGCCTGAGCACCGGCCAGGAGGTGCAGAGGCCTGGGGAGAGTGGATGCCATGAGGAGAGAAAGAGCTTCCAGGTCTGATCACAGCTTCCACAGTTTTCTGATGAAAATGAAAGAGAGATCATATCTCTCCTATCCTGGCTTCTCTTCATTGGCTTCCTGTTAAATCCAGAATAGAATTTAAAATCCTCCTTCTCACATATAAAGCCTTAAATGGCCAAGCTCCATCTGATATCAGAGATCTGATTGTTCCTTACGTTCCTAACAGAGCACTTCGCTCTCAATCTGCAGGTTTACTAGTGGTTCCTAGAATTTCTAAAAGTAGAATGGGAGGCAGATCTTTTAGTTATCAGGCTCCTCTCCTGTGGAACCAACTACCAGTTTTAGTCCGTGAGGCAGACACCCTGTCTACTTTTAAGGCTAGGCTTTAAACTTTCCTTTTTGATAAAGCTTATACCGTAAATTCCGGACTATAAAGCACACCTGATTACAAGCCGCAGGCTCTAATTTTAGAAAGAAAATCAATTTTGTGCTTTTATAAGCCGCACCGGATTTTAAGTCGCAGGTTTCCCACGTTGTTTGAGATATTTACAAATAAAGATATTACAAGTGAGCGTTTTTTTAACGTTTGATTTAATTCGTATGATAAAACAAACTAATACGGTACATATGATGAATGCTTTTTTTTTGTTTTTTTCAAGCTACCTGTAACACATTTAAATATACGTATGTGTCGGTAACACGCAAATAACGCTGCATATACCGGTACTTTTAATTGAACAACGCACAGAACATTGAAGCCGACCAGGAAAAGTCATTAATCGCTTTCTTCTTCCTCCTGCGCACTAAAACCCTCAAAGTCCTCTTCCTCGGTGTCTGAATGGAACAGCTTCAGGATGCCGTCTCTGACTTCAGTCTCATCCTTGTCGCTCTCACGGTCCTCTTCATCCCGCAGCAGCCCAGCCTTCCGAAACCCGCCGGTGATGCTGGATGTTTTTCGCACGGTTTCACGCATTGAGAACCCACAGGCGGACATCAGTGAAAGATGCCCTTCGCATGCGGCCAGTTTTGGTGAAGGATTTCTCGCCACTGATCATCCACGTCTCCCACTCACTGCGCAGTGCCACTTTAAATGCACGTTTCACACTGATGTCCAGTGGTTGCAAATACTTTGTTTTTCGCGCCATGAAAAAAAACATGTATTAGCCGCACTGTATTATAGGCCGCAGTGTTCAAACAGTAGGAAAAAAGTAGCGGCTTATAGTCCGGAATTTACGGTAGTTACAGTGGCTCAGGTTATCCTGAGCTATCTCTATAGTTCTGCTGCTATAGGCTTAGACTGCTGGAGGACATAGGGACCCCTTTTTCATCATTCTGCTTCATTCTATCTCTATTCTCCCACCCTGCAGAATCTGTTAGTTCAATCTCTAACCTTCTGCTCTCTCTGCTTTTTCTCATAGTAGCTTCATCTGGTCTGTTCCTGTTTGGCTGTGACTCCATCCTGGAGAGAAATATCAGCTGTGCTGCTGCCATCAACACCTTTGTTTCTAGATGTTGGAGCTTGGCCTGTTTTCCAGTGTAGTCCTGTTTCTCTGACTGTGACTAACTGGATGTGCTCTCTTCATCCTCTGACATGGGAGTGGTCTTGGTGCTCATCTGCCTGGCTGTGTGTTTCCTGGACGGGGCCGCCTTTTACAGTAGTTTTGTATCTCTGCTTCTGTCTCCTTGAACCCCAGTCGGCCTCGGCAGATGGCCGCTCACACTGAGCCTGGTTCTGCTGGAGGTTTCTTCCTGTTCAAAGGGAGTTTTTCCTCTCCACTTTCGCTACAAGCATGCTTAGTGTGAGGGATTGTATTTGAGTCAATGAGTCGATGCAATCAGCTGGTTTTCCTTAGATAGAAAACTTTGAATCAATCTGACTGGATGATCTGGTGAACTGGAAAGTGCCTTGAGATGACATGTGTTTTGAATTGGAGCTATAGAAATAAACTGAATTGAATTGAATCAAAGAACAAATTCTGTGCAGCAGCCATCGCTGACTCTGCTTTTCCTTAAAAAGACGCAAGACGAAAGCGAAGAAGCTGCTGATCTGCCCAATGACGGACTCATTAAGCAAACAGGTGAACGCCCTTTTGAATCGCCTCATAAACCATAAATGATGACTCATCTTCATCGTCTATCCTGCAGCCTCTGAGGAGCCCAGCACCGATGAGATTTGGTTCGACGCTAAAGAGGAGCTGAATCTCCAAGAATTGGCAGCAGAGATCGGTCCGAATTCAAACATGGCCGACAACCAAAGTTAGTTTATAAAACACAAAACATCCAAAGTTAAACGACTGTACTGAATCTGTTTAAATCTGTCGATAGATGCAGAGTCAGCTGATGATGAGAGCAGCAGCTCGAGGCTCTGCATGTCCAACCTGCCTGGCAACACCGCAGAGGTGACTACACACCGTTACCTCTGTCCTGGAATGACAAGCAGGGGGCAGTATGAAGCTTCTTAAAACGTTCAAACTATATCCAGACCATAAGTTACATACAGCAGAGCTGGTAAAGGTTTGATGACAGTGGCAGCTGGTAACATTTTCTCTAGGGGGGCTATAAATTCAAAATAGACGTATACCGTAAACCAGGGGTGTCAAACTGGTTCCAGAAAGGGCCGTGTGGCTGCAGGTTTTCTTTCCAACCAAGCAATAGCACCGGACTCCAGTCAATCATCATGTCATCATGTTAATGCTGAACTCCCTTGATGAGATGACTGGAGTCTGGTGCTATTGCTTGGTTGGAAAGAAAACCTGCAGCCACACGGCCCTTTCTGGAACCAGTTTGACACCCCTGCCGTAAACTATTCAAATGTATTCTTAGTCATCACACTAGTGTGTTTTGCGTGTCACAAACCTAAAAAAAATGTACCAGTTAAATAATGGAGAAGCTGTTAGTCAGCTTTATATTTTTTTTAATGTATGAAAACTATTTTCTCAGAGTGTGTTTATTTAAGAGCAACTATGCAAATGAACAAACACCCTGAAAAAGTAGATTATATTCTATTATTTTCCATGTGAATCCCAGATTAATCATTCTTCTTTGCCTTTTCTAAAAAGTGCTTTCAATCAGTCCTAGCTGTCTTTATCCATGCTGGCTCAGATCCTGATATTTGAAAAAGGAGGCAGGAAAACAGGATAAAGCTTTAACCTCGCTGCATGCAGTTAGCCTAGCCTTGGAGCTAAACCAGGTCCTGGAAAAGGACGTTTCTAGCACCATTTCTCTCTGTCCAATGCGTCTCCAAATCCCGCGACTCGATCTGTCAATCAGTCGCAAATCGTCTGCGCTGTGGCGGGAGCTGATGAGCAAATAAACTTCCTGCGCTCCTCTGCGTTTGTATTGCAGAGGAGCTACTGCGCATGTACAACTTTTAACGAGATTTTTGCGCCCCAGGGCGGATATACGTTAGCCTGGGTGCCATTCCGAACTTAGTCCCGCCCACAATGTTTGAGGTCGGGAAGTTCGGTCTGGCATTGCTCAATAGTAGCGCGAGTATGCTAGCACAATATCTGGCGGGCCAATCAAATTGTCAGGGCGGGCTTTATACGATGATGGACAGATGATCAACAGTAACGTAATCAACCACGTGACCAATGCGCGCTTGGGTGACAACAACAATGGCTGCCGCTGGAGAGTTTAGGTGAGTAGATTCTGCTATTAGGTCTGTTCTAGAAGATATCGACAGCAAATTAATTTTAAAAGAGGAACAGAGAAACGCGATCAAGGCTCATCTTCTTATTCTAGGCGTGCAACTGCAAGCTTTGATTTTTGTTTACAACAACTATGCGTCGCTTAACATACGTCACGCACTCCGTTGCTCTTATTGGTTGTAGGTCTATCCAATTGAGTGCAGAGGCATTTTTTTTCCTGGTTTGTTCGAAACACGCCCCATAATCACAGCTCTATGGAGCAGCATCAGACTCATTCTGACTAGAATTGATAGGACTACGTCAGGCTAGCTATGCGTCACCAATATGACGAAAAATGGAATGACACTTTACTAGTCATTACATTAAATATTAATCTTGCACATCTAAAAATATATATGTATTAATATATTTTGCAATATTTTAGATTTTAATTTAAAATGAAAAATATTTTTTTTTTTTTAAACATTTTTTTTCTTTTATATCTTAATCAGTGTCATTGGGTGGGTGGGATGGCGCCCTAGCTTCCTCTATTGACCAGCCGCCTCTTAGTGAGGGAATCCATTTATAACTAGAAATCAACAAGATAACGTCCAGTTAAACTGGAGTAAATACAGACGGCTGGCTTATTTCTCCTTAAGGTGGATTTATAGTCAGAAACCAGGTCATCTGCCCCGTCTGCTGCACCCCTCAAAAATTTTAGGTCACAGGAGTTCTCTGATTGGTCAAATCTACATCCGCTCTGCTCATGCGTATTTCCTGTTTGGTACCTTACCGGCTTGTTTTGTTTGTCTGACCGCCATTGTGGAAAACGACTGGTGAAGATTTTTTTTTTTTTCAACTTTATTGTTTATAACATTAATTACATGTTTCAGTAGGAATCTCCATTTAGCGTTTTTACAGGAAAAAAAACGACGAGAAATTCAACTTAACTTTTGCAAGGCAAAAGAAGAAGGTACAATTAAATTAACAGAAAAAAATAAAATAACAGGCATTTATAATAAATGATAGTAACCAATCTCCAAAAGGATATATACATGACAAATGTAGAATTCAAAATCAACAATTAACAGAGACATACTTATTTAGGCAGTGCGACAAATCATGTTAACTTGAGTTAAAACACAAGAAATCGTGACATGTCGTTACATAGCTTTTGTATATGTCCATATTTGTCAGCTAACAAGGATAAAGATGAATAGAAGAATTTGAGTTCATTTTTGAAACGTATAACTGAAGGTTCTTGATTTTTCCATTTACATACATGTATATGATATTTTCCCATACTTATGACAATATTGATCATGTCCGATAAATCTTTCGCAATATAATTTTTATATGATAGTATGTGATTTATATTAAATGGTGTTATATTTTCTATTTTGGACGACTGGTGAAGATGGAGCAGCTAGAAGAGCGAGGTGTGCGAGAACGCTGGGACCCTTTTTCCACCTGGATCTCCGCTCTTTTTCGCCCTCATGTCCCTCTGTTGTCGCACAGATCTAGACCCACAGCTAGTTCCTGATTGGCCCTCTGGTGTTGTGGCGTGGAATAGCAAAGCACAGACCACGCTTCAATATTGGGCATAAATCAGAAATACCTGCGACAAGCTCACTGTGACGCCCTGCTTCAGGAGGATAACCAGCCTTTAGCCTGTTAGCTTACTGTTACCTTTAGGGATGGGTGGCTTTATACTTCCTTTAGCTTAAGGCGTTATCAAACAAATCCTTCTTCACTGTTACTGAAGCACACAGCTGGTTAATGTCCAGGTTACAGATTTTTCCCTTTGTTTTGAAGTTCTGTTGTTTTTTTGATGGGTTTGAAGTGAAAGTTCTGAATCCCTCGTAGTTGTTATGTTCATCGTCTGTAGACCTGTTCTAACTTCTCATTTCTGTTGCTTCTTTGTGCAAAAAGTGATTGGTATATCAGTTCTTATTCATTATTATGACGGACACCTGTGATGTGAAAACAGCTTCCATTGAGAGTTAAAGTTAGCTGTATAGATGATGATGATTGTCTACTTCTCTTATAATTCCTCTAGTTTTATTTAGGCAAAAACGATAAACATGTTTCCTTGTATCAATGTTTATTTTTTTCAGTTTTGTTCCCTTTTTTTTCAACAAAGTCCTGAACTTTCAAGACTTGGAGACTCAGTAATTGATCGGCCTGTATGAGGTGGTTGGAAAGTTCTAGTAGGATTGACAAAAGCTCGACTGGTATGATGATCAGAGATTAAAGTATTCAGGCCAGTAGCGATTGTCCGTGGGTTAAAAAAATCACAACTAACATGTATACATGTGTATACGGATTTTTATTTTTTTTTTGATTGAATTCCTGCAGATGTTAAAGTAAATGACTAAAAGCCCTAAATAACTTTTTCCAGACGGATCAGAAGCAGAAATTCCATCCATCAGATGTCAGCATTTCCACTCTAAAGAACAAAGCGAGGTGAGCTGCTATCATTTTAAATGTTTAATTGAAAGTAATCAGATCCAGTTCCTCTGAGTTCTGATGAAAGGTGATGGTTGATGCTTTAATCAGCCCCTGCTTGTGTCTCTAGAGACGCCATGGTGGATGCATCAGAGGCAGCTGCAGGCCGGGAGCTCAGCGGTCATCAAATCCAGAACTATACCATCAGCATCAGTCATGACAGCGGAGCCATCGATGTAAACCAATCATCCAGCTCCGTTTCCAAGCACGACGCCATTGAAGCTTCGCCCTCTGAGAACGAGGTGGGGAGATGTTCTACCTTCCTTCTTTTACTCCTATAAACTCCGAACGATGCATGAAAACAATTTTACTAAAGATTTTTGCCTTTAGCCTTTAAAGCTCAGCAGCATGGAGGCTCCCACTACCAGCAGCTGGAGCTGTGGCCATTTTTCAGTTCCGTTTTTTTTTTCAGCATGAAAATTAGAGTATTAGGGCCACGCTAGAGATAGTTTTTCTTTTTTATATATATTATGAGAATAAAGTCGTAATATCAAAAAAGAATAAAGTCAACGTACAAAAGCCTGTTTCAGAAAGAAAGCTCGGAGCTCCGCCCAGCATAAGACCGCGGACCAGCTCCACCAATCAGCAACCAGAGTCCATTTTGAAATCCTGACCAGTTTGATGCTGCTGCTAAAAGATTTCCTTAATCGTCAAACTGATGCTAAAGTATAACTTCACATGATGCTCCACATTCCTCATTTTAGGGAAGAAAGAGCTTCTTGGACGAGTTGTCATAAAGTACAACTTTATTCTCGTAATTTCATGACTTAATTCTCGTAATTTCACGACTTTATTCTCGTAATTTTACGACTTTATTCTCGTAATGTTACGACTTTATTCTCAGAATTTTACGACTTTATTCTCGTAATTTCATGACTTAATTCTCGTAATTTCACGACTTTATTCTCGTAATTTTACGACTTTATTCTCGTAATGTTACGACTTTATTCTCGTAATGTTACGACTTTATTCTCAGAATTTTACGACTTTATTATCGTAATTTTACGACTTTATTCTCGTATTTTCACGACTTTATTCTCGTAATTTCAGGACTTTATTCTCGTAATTTTACGACTTTATTCTCGTAATTTTACGACTTTATTCTCGTAATGTTACGACTTTATTCTCGTAATTTCATGACTTTATTCTCGTAATTTTACGACTATTCTCGTAATTTTACGACTATTCTCGTAATTTTACGACTATTCTCGTAATTTTACGACTTTATTCTCGTAATTTCACGACTTTATTCTTGTAATTTCACGACTATTCTCGTAATTTCACGACTATTCTCGCAATTTTACGACTATTCTCGTAATTTTACGACTTTATTCACGTAATTTTAAGACTTTATTCTCGTAATTTCACGACTTTATTCTCGTAATTTTACAACTATTCTCGTAATTTTACGACTTTATTCTCGTAATTTTACGACTATTCCTGTAATTTTACGACTTTACTCTCGTAATTTTACGACTTTACTCTCGTAACTTTACGACTTTATTCTCGTAATTTTACGACTATTCTTGTAATTTTACGTCTTTATTCTCGTAATTTTACGACTTTATTCTCGTAATTTTAAAACTTTCTCGTAATTTCACAACTTTATTCTCGTAATTTTACGACTTTATTCTCGTAATTTTAAAACTTTCTCGTAATTTCACAACTTTATTCTCGTAATTTCACAACTTTATTCTCGTAATTTCACAACTTTATTCTCGTAATTTTACGACTTTATTCTCGTAATTTTACGACTTTATTCTCTTAATTTTACGACTTTATTCTCGTAATTTTAGGACTATCCTAATTGCGAATGTATTCTCGTAATTTTTAGTGTTGTACCGATACCAGTATCAGGCAGGACCCCGATGCTGCACTAAAATGTAATGTTGCGCCGATGCCATTATTTGGCCCTGATACCTGGCTGTGCAGTATCGGCCAAAACCGATACCATCTGTTTGAAATTGATGTGTGTGTAAATATGAAGAACTGCAGACTACTTGGATGTAAAATAATCACCATCATGGCTTTGTCAAGCTGCTGCCTACCAAGTAAAACTGCAGCATGAAGATGAGCGGCTGGATGTTGATTGTATACAAACGAACCCAACTTACTGTTAAACAGGAAGCTAATTGGTTTTAATTCAATTTCTAAAGCCTCAATCACCAAATATTCTTATTGAATATCTAAGGCTGGACCTCTGATCTGAGAGCCGTTTGTTCACGTTGATGCTAGATGATTCTCTGCTAGCCCACATGTTGGTGTTGTCCGGCGGCGTTCCGATTCCAAAACAATTAAAAGTTCAGTTTCCTGATTGGAAAAGAAGATTAGAAGAGATTAAAAGAGTGAATTCAAGCAAGATGGATATTAAAAGGCAAATTCTTCACAATTCTATGCAAAATGGAACTGACTAAAATAAATGAACTCCTTTTTAACTGAGGAACTGAAACGGAACCAGAAAAGCTCATCAGCAAAACAGTTGAATTTCCAATAAAAGATGCAGCGATTCGCAGTTCAGTGTGGATTTTATTTGCGATCAGGTATGTGGAGTCGATAACCAAACCAACTGCAAATGCTTCCAGATTGACCTCTGACCTTTCCAACAGGTTTGGACGTCTGCGGCTAAAGACGGTTTTAGAGACTGACCACAGAAAGACGCAGACTTCCTCTCCTCCTCTTTCAGTTTCTGTTCTCACGCCTTCATCACTTCTTTCAAGCACATTTCTTCCTTCATTTCACCCTTTCACTATTTTGCTGCTGCTAGCTGGTTTTTCATATCGGTTTAAACATCGTAGCAACAGACGACAAAACGCAGAAGTCCAAAACAGGCGACGTTGATTCTAAAACCTTCATGCTGTTTTAATGTCTCTAATGTTTCTTAGTTCCTCTTTCTCTGTCCAGCCGATCGACTCGCCGCTCCTCTGCTCCGGCACGCAAAGATGGAGGGTTGTGTCCAACTCGCTCACTGGAAGGAAAACCTACGTGCCTCTGCACTTCGGCACCATGGACAGCCTGAGAATCCTGATGGGCGAGCTGACGAGGATGCATCCAGATGTTGGCCGGCAGGGCGTTATGGACGCTCTGATGGAGCTGAAGACACGACACGGGGGGGCCCTTGGCAGCCTTCCCCTCAGCACCATCAGAGATATGACCTCTGACCTGCTGACCAAATCAGCTCCTGCCACCCAGACATGAGGAGGAAAGACTTACTTACTTACAATTACTTAATTTCATTGAATAAAAAAAAAATAAAAAAAACTTAACGAGTTCAAGTTTGCTGCTTTTTGTTGTAACTACTTGTGGAATAAATTTTCCTCTAACAGACCGTGTCTCAGTGCCTTTGCTTTCTGGCTGATGTGTTTATCAGTTTTGAATATTGGTGGTGCTTTCACACTTGTGCTAGCGTGAGATGGACTCTACAACCCATATAAGTGGATCAGGTAGTGCTGCTCATCCAGTGCGTTGGCCTAGGACCTTTATTGTTTTTAGTTTACATTAATGATCTTGCTAATGTCACAAGTTCTACAATACCTATTCTGTTTGCAGATGATACAAATTTTCTAATCTCTCATAAAGACTTGACTACTATTACAGAGAAATTGAACAGAGATCTAGCCCAGTTTTCAACCTGGTTCCAAGCCAATAAGTTATCTTTGAATGTGAAAAAATGTAATTTCATGGTTTTTGCTGGGCACAAAAATTATACATTTGATGATATAAGAATTTGTATTCAAAACCAACAAATTGATAAAGTTTCTACTGTTCGTTTTTTGGGTGTCCAACTTGACGACAAACTCCTTTGGAGAGAACAAATTGGTACAGTCTGCAAAAAAAGTCACTAAATCTCTAGGTATTTTGAGAAGGATTAGAAATTTGTTCACAATAAAGTGATGTTAACTCTATATTATTCATTAATCTATCCATACCTGTCATACTGTAATATTGTTTGGGCAAGTACATTTCCTAGTTATCTTAAAAAAAATACTACTTTTGCAAAAAGCTTTTGTTCGCTTAGCAACATTCTCTAAAGTTGATGCAGCTAGTGCTCCTCTTTTTTCCAAATTACAGCTGTTGATCATTTTGAAATTAATATTTATCAAACATGTACCTTTATTTTTATGATAAAACAAGGTCAGTCTCCTGATACTTTCAAGAAATATTTTGTTAAGAACTGCCAAGTGCATTCTTATAATACTAGTCAAGCTTTGTCTTTTCATTTACCGTTAAGTATTAAAACTCAAGTGCAATTTTCTTTTCGGCATCGTGGTGCAAAATTATGGAATGAATATGGAAAATATTTGGAATCTTCAGAAATAAATGGTAGAAAGTCTTTGAAAAAAATACTGTTATCCAAAAAAGACAGTGATGTATGATTTTACAAAAATTTGACCCCCTGAAATCTGAATGCTAAAATGTAAAAATAATGTTACTGTATATGTCTATTCTGTTTTCTCTGAAAGGACTCTCATAATGTGAGCTGCCTGATATTTTGTTGGTTTACGGGTGTGGCCTTGGTATAAGCCCTAAAGGGTTTCTGTCACACTCCATCACATTTTTTATTTTATTCTATTGGTGTATTCTGAGTTTTTATTTTGATCTGTGAAAATAATAATTAAAAAAATAAAGGTTTGCTGTGCCAGTCAGCGTAGTGTCCAGAGGCGCTACCAGGAGACAGGCCTGTACAGCAGGAGACTGGCAGGGGGCAACAACCCAGCATCAGGACCACTACCTCCATCTTTGTGCAAGGAGGAGCACTGCCAGAGCCCTGCAAAATGACCTCCACACGTCATGTATCTGCACAAACAGTTAGAAATGGACTCCACAAGGATGGTCTGAGGGCCAAACATCCATAGATGGGGGTTGTGCTCATAGCATGTTGCCCTGTGCTCTTCACCCAGGAAAGCGGGTTCACACCTAGCACATGTATGAGTCTGGAGACACAGTGGAGAGCGACCTGCTGCCCGCAGCATCCTTCCACATGACCGGCGTTTCAGGGTTTTTTTTGCTGGAAACAAACAAATGGTTGAGAGTATTTAAATATTCTTAGTGGGGTTAAGAGTAATGGAATAATCTGCAAAGCTCAGCCACTCGTACAGTTTTATAATTTTTTTTTATTGTTTTACAGTAAAAAATATTGTAATATGTCCACAGCTGTATGTTGATTATTATATTTGTAAAAACACTACATTACAGTATTAGTTTATATTTATGTGAATGTTATTTTTACCCATGCTTTAGTTGATTTGTTTTCTTACTTGTTTTTCCTGTACAGCACTTTGGTCAGCTGTGGTTGTTTTTAATGCTTAACAAATAAAATACTAATGGATTTTTTTTTTTTACTCTGTTACTTTTTCTATTATTTTTATACACCTTTTAAAATCCATATTTATGTGACCACATTTGCTTTCATCTTTTAATGCTGTTACACCACAACTTACCCACTGTGGGAAAACAAAGTGTGTTTTTATTCTATGTAATGCTGATTATTAATGTCTTCCAAAGCTCTGATGCCTTCACAAAGTTCTCCCTTAAGCCCTGATGTCAACGGTCTGTTGATTTAAACAAAAATATGCTGCAGTGCTGAGGCATCCTCCTCCTGTTCTGCTTAAAGCAGGTTAGCACTGGGAAAAAATCAAAATCTAGATAAGTCTCTTTTTTTTTTCTTAAAATAAGAGCATTTTATCTTGAATTGAGGATATAAAAGAGACATTTTGCCAGTGGAACAAGATAATTTACATTCAAAATAAGAATTTCAAGTGCATTTTATGTATCTATCTTATTTTAAGAGTAAAAACACCCATTCCATTGGCAAATCATCTCATTTACCTACTCAAATTAAGGCTAAATACACTTAATTTAAGACATTTTTTACTTATTAGATCGTTTTTCCAGTGAGCGGAGCAGGTCGACCTCTCCAAGATGGCGCCTGCAGTGTCTGTGCATCACAGTGGTGTCAAAAGTTCACACATTTGTTATTTAAGTAGAAGTATAGATGCTGCAGTTTTAAAACACTCTGGTAAAAGTTGAAGTATCAACTTCACCTCTTTACTCAAGTAAAAGTGAAAAAGTATGTGCTCCAAAAACTACTTAAAGTATAAAATAAGCTTTAAGAAAAAGGCCAGATGCCACTATATGTATTGAAAGCTCAATTTTACGACTATTTCTAATAATTCTTAGAGATACGACCAAGGATGAGGGAGGTCTTGTTGGTCTCCGTCTCCCGATACGCTCTCGCCTGTGTCCGACCTTTCAGACATTTCAGCATCTTTTTCTGAATCCCACATTGTAGCATGGCATAGACAATTCACGTTAGCAGTTTGAAGAACACCTGCTTGCTTCTGATGATTTCCTTTAGCTAACCAATGAGTGTTTGCGTTCTATGACTCATCCAATCACACTAGTTTTCACTAGATGTGGGTGGAGCCAATGATCTGCATTGGATGGAGCACATGACGGGAAATAAAGATTTAGAAACATTAAACCGAAGCCAAGAGTAACGAGTAACGTTTATTTTAAAAATGTAAGGAAAAGAAAGTACAGATACTGGTGTGAAAATGTAATGAGTAGAAGTGAGAAGTATAGATGCCTAAAAAGTGTACTTCGGTACAAAAAGTATTTGTACTTGACACTTCTGGCACAGCGACAGTCAATGCGGGGTCTATTCTTTTCTTTAAATATGTCTATCCTCAGACCCCCTGTGAGACCATATGCTGGTGCGGTTGAAGGTATTGAAGCTATGGACCATCCTGCCTGTTCTCCAGAGATAAATCCCACTGATCACATCTGGGGCATCATGTCTCCCTCCATCCACGGACGTCACGTTGCACCACAGCCTGTCCAGGAGTGGCAGATTCTTTAGTCCAGGTCTGGGAGGAGATCCCTCAGGAGACCGTCCTCCACCTCATCAGGTTGTATGGAGGTCACACACAATACTGGGCCTCATTCTGAGCTTTTTTAAGGACATTCCATCAAAGTTAGAGCCGCCTGTTTTTCCACTTGAATTCATCAAGACCACCTTTGGTTTATAAATTAGATTTCCATTGATGATTTTGTTGTCAAAACACTCAGCTTTATACAAAGCGAAGTATTCAGTGAGATTATGTCATACACTCACATCTAGGATGTGTGAGCTTTCCCTTTATCCCTTTACATGTCATCTCAAAACACTTCAGAGTCTCTAAGATCATGCAGATGGATTGACTGCAGCAGTCTAACATTCTGAGCGTTCAGTGCCTGGAGAGGAAAAACTCCAGCAAAACAAGGACCATGATTTAGCTGCAGAAAGAGTCTAGGAGGGAAACAGGACTAAACACTGAAGAACAGGTAACTGAAAGTTACGGTGGTACTTTATGGTCCCACGTAATAAAATACTGTTCGTCTATTTTGTTAGTTAGCAGAGACGCAGCTTTTTATTATGTAAAGTTTGTCTTTCCCTCCAGATTTGGAGCAAATAAATAAAATGCACATTGTTCACCGCAGTTATTTTGCACCAAAAGTAGTAAAAATCCATAAGGCACATGCCTCAACCAAGAGGAACTACTGGGTCAATAGTGCCGGGCCGAGGGTGAAAGGGAGAACCAGATCCAGCTATTGAGGTGCAGGCTTAGTTAAACCTGAGTCTGCAGGGTGCATTGGCCCAAAGCAGGTCCATCCTGCCCACATGTGCTCTGCAGGTTCTGCTTTGCTCCCGTCTGTATAAATGGAGTTGAAATTGAAAGAGTTTATGAGACAAAATTCTTAGGGATTATTATAGACAACAAACTTAATTGGAAGCCTCACATAGAATATATTAGAAATAAAAGTGCAAAAACTATTGGAATATTATTTAAAATAAAAGATTTAATAAACATTAAAGGCCTGCATATTAATATAATATATTCCTCTTTGGTCATGCCTTATTTGTCCTATTTTTTAGAAGTATGGGGAAATGCAAATAAAACAATTATTAATAAGTTAGTTAAGTTGCAAAAAAAAGCTCTAAGGCTTATTAATAAGGTGGGATACCGTGAACCAACTGATAAACTCTTCATTCAAAGCAACACATTAAAATTCAAAGACATTGTTTATATAAAAATACTGGAAATAATGCATAAAGCAGTGAACAAAAGTCTTCCTTCTGGTACTCAGAAATTATTTAAGTTAAGAGAAAATAAATATAATTTGCGAGGTTTGTTTATCAGAATCAGAAATACTTTAATAATC